ATCAGCCTGAGGCCAGAAGAACTAGATGGTGCACGGCTACCACCAATGACCGCCCTGACAGGGAACACAACAGACAGTCCCTGACGGAGCAGGAGAAAAGTGGGGTGCAGAACTCAAATTCCAGTAAAAAGACTAGACTTAATGGTCTGACTGAGACTGGAGGGATCCCAGAAGACATGGCCCCCGGACTCTCTGTTAGCCCAAAACTAAAACCATTCCTGAAGCCAACTCTTCAGACAAAGATTAGTCTGGACTATAAGATATAAAATGATACTCACGAAGAGTACGCTTCTTAGCTCAAGTAGATACATAAGTCTAAATGAGCAGCTCTTGTCTGGAGGCAAGATGAGAAGGCAGAAGGGGACAGGAGCTGGTTGAATGGACATGGGAAATCCGGGGTGGAAAGGAGGAGTGTGCTGTCACAGTATGGGGTGTGCGACTAGGGTCACATAGCAGTGTGTGTATAATGTTTTGTATGAAAAAACTAACTTGAACTGTAAACTTTCATTTAAAGCACAATAAAAAAGAATGTAGATTACCTAAAAATTTTCATATTTTGCCCTAATATTTATTTCTCACCATTTAGAGCTCTCAGAAAATTCACTACCACTGTTATATCAAGTCAACTATTAAAAAATATCTCTTCACTCAACACAAACAGAAGCATCAAAGTAGAAGGCTCTTTCTCTTAAGTAAAAGCTATTCTTAATTATGATAAAGACTAAATCACATTTCAGTGCAGTCTCTGAAGGTTTTGATATGGGAAAACTGCCTTGAGCTTTGAAGCTTGCTTGCATCATTCAGTGTATCATGGTGATTGAGGGCATTTTACTTACCACCTGGAAAAATTAGGCTATATTCTATATACTTTTAAGAACTCATTAGGATTAATGACTCTGTAGTATCACAGCTGTGACACAATCAGCTGGAGAAAAATCAGAGCTAAAAACTCCACACATTCTATTATCTCTGGTTCACAGAAGGTTCTGGAATGTATCTCTGGGCTTGGATTTCATCAGTCTATTTCTGAAACAGGCACTGAACTCATCTAGAGTTCTTTGGAGATAATGATTGTATCATTTTTCCTGAGGGAAGGCCACTACTCCTAGGATTCCCCCTCTGGAGCAATCACTGCATGCTACTCAGCCCCTGGAGCCATGCCAACAGGGTTCCAAATATCCCTGGGCTACTTAAGTGGGGAAAATAAGACGAGTTAAAAGCGGTTTCTATAGCTGAGTGGTCCTATCTTAATGCCAGACCACTCTGGAAAACACTTCAAGGTGGTTCTGCCCGCTGTTACAAAAGCAGAAGCTGAAGCCATCTTTCTAAAAGCCTGACTGAGAGGGAAGGATTATTGCTGTTCTGAAAAGAAAAGCCTATCGTTTCCCATTATCTGAAGCATCTGTTTTGGTTGCTAGAATCGTGATTTGTATTGTGGGACTATCTCAAATGTTGGTTTCTAAATATTTCCAGTGGGTGAAGTCCTAGATACCAGGGCTGATACTGTCGTAAAACTGTCATTACAATGAAGTGCAGAGGAAGAGAAGCTTCTAAATTAATGCTAATTCCTTTCATTTCTGTGACTGATACCATCAAGTTTATTGGTGCACATAGACTCATTTTTCTTTTGGCTGAAAAATAAAAACACAACTAATAACTGAACCCACAGCTTACTAACTAAACCCAAAGTGCAATTAAATTTGTTGCCCAACATTCTTATTTCCTATGGACATTTAATTTAGCATATTAAGGCTAAAGACAAAACTGAACAGAATATCAAAAGTAGTTCATCCACATCTGAGTTATAACTGGACCCAAAATAGAAGTAGACCCAAAACTAGCAAAAGAGTTGAGCTAAAGTATAAGATAAGAACGCAGCCTTACCCACTGCACCCGATGACTTTATTGTACAGATAGGATGGCAAGCCTTTCAGGTGAACGTTGTTATCCACATACACGTATTGTAGTTCTCGAGATCGACCTAAATCTGGGTGAGAAAGAGAAGGGCTATCATTCCTATAAATATGTACCAATACAATGTGAAATGTAAAATCTAATAAACAATATTAGAAATAGTCTAAATTCCCATTATGGAAGAAAAAAAAATGTAGATTTAACTCTGAGTGTGAAATTATGCCAGCTGCATCATTAAATTCTGGATCAAAAAACATGACTTTCGAAAAATTACTTAACCTACTTGGACTTTGATTTCTTAAACTGTAAAATGAGAAAACTGGGATTAGAATATTACTAAATTTTCTTCCTGTATAAAAATTCGATGACTTCTTACAGGCAATTTCAATTTAAGACTAGTTTGTTTTTGGTTATTTATTTAGTTGTTTCATTTTTCCCATAGGAAAAATACGTTACACAAAGTGGCTAGACTAGACCTGTGGGCCTGTGAGCAGGGCTGGGAATGGATCTGTACGAGGAATGGGAAGAGGTGAGAAGGAAGGCCTCAAAAAAGGGTTTGCAACAAGAATAGGTATGCCAGAAAGACGGAGAATTCAGAAAGTCTCCCCGAAGTAGCAGGACAGTGGCGGAAGCAAGGAGTGGAGGATTCAATGAGGAGGTAAGATGCAAAGAGCTGAGGGACATGTCCTGACAGACGGGAAGCAGAGACACTTCCAAGTGCAAGGCCAGCCCTTCCTGTCTTCCACCTGCAGTGCCCGGCAGGTTTGGCCAGCTGTCCTTCCCACTCCCAGCACTCACTGAGTAGGGCTGTTTGTCTTCATTCCCACAGCGGCACACAACAGAGTCCTCAGCAGCCTTGCTAACCCTCTGCTCACTGAAGCAAGCACATAACCTTTGAACAGTTTTCTAGGGTTCTGCTTTTGAAAATAGGAAGCAGGCTGAAGAGAAGTCTCCCACCTTGTCTTTCTACAGTTTAAGAAAAACAAGGGCCCACACAGGGAAATTAGGAGGGTCTTAGATGCATTTACGTTCAAAAGAAAACCTATTTACCCATTACAGTCCTTTTAGGCATTGTGCTAGTCTTCGGAGCTATACACATGAATGTCATTAATAGATGTTCACAGACATGAAAAATGATGGCTGTAATACAATATGATCATTGCTATTAGGGAGGCCTGTATAATCATATGGGTCCACAGAGTGAACCTAGGGTCCTGGACAATTTGTTAAAGAAAGTGAGAGGCGGTCATGTGGGGTGTGGGTGGGGGAGGGTGCCTGGGGGAGAGGTAAGAAAGGGTTAACATTACAGTCCTCCTTCCCATTGCTAGTCCCATTACAGTAACTGTGCCCTGGAAGCATGCTGGAGCAAGCTATAAAAAGAGGAACCCAAATGGGGAGAGAAAGGTCACCACAGCACTGGGGACAGGCAATGAAAAGGGAAGTAGCAACTCTTAGGGAGAAAAATGAATTACTTTGCCACTGGCTGGAGACGCTCTTTCCCAATGTGGTGATTTCAAAACATCTAACAAACAGAATAAGGTAGAAAAGACTGTGGCTCCCTCTTTGCTCTCTCTCGGATCACTCATTCTAAGGAAGACAGTTTCCAAGTCGTGAAGGCATTCCAGCAGCTTTATGAGGAGGAACTAAGGCCTCCAGGCAATAGCCATGGGAATGAGCCTCCTTGGAAGCTGATCCTCCAAGGCCCAGTCAAGCCTTCAGATGACTACAACCCTGAAATTATGTAAATATACTGCTCTTTCACAAATTTTCACCCATTAATTTGAGCATTCATCGATGGATTCTATTTGCAACAATAATGTAGAGTCTGCCTAATGGGGACTTACCATCACCCTCTTTCTGTCTACATTTATTACTAGAAATTCTTCTATAAAGAAGATTGTTTTTATCAGTATGGACTCACAGATATTTATTGTATTACTAACAGGTTAAAACTCAACACTATTACCATTTATTCTGTTGGTCAAATGTTCCAACTTTGGCAGTTAAAAGCAGCTTCAGATTGGTTCTTGTGTTATTTCAACAGATACCCATTCTTTTTTTTTTTTTAAGAGTGTCCTAACTTTCTGGCACCAGAGAATCAGCTTTTATTTTCCCTGCCTAGGCATGGATTACCCAGTAAGTAAGGTAAGTATGTACTTAGGGCAACAACCAAACGGGTACCAGTTGTCCAAAACAAAGACCCATAGATGACAAACAGACAGGACACAAGGAAAAGTGAGCGCCGCAGTGGAAGGGAACAGGCAGGGCACTAAATGAAACAGATACCAGCTCCAGTGCATGAGAATGTGCCCGCAGGAAAGAAAGTTCACACAGGGTCACCAGGGCACCCACATGCAGGGTTGTTTAAGCTATGAGGCTCCTACTACTTCAACACTGTCAGTGACATGTGTCTCCTATGGTCCCCTCCCGTGTAAATGAAGCTAATTATCTAGGCGAGTCTCTTGGGAATATACTATTTCTTTCTAATAAACAAGAGGTGGGGGGTGGGCTGTCCAGTCTAACTCTTGCTACATTCACCCAATATGCAACTGGATCCAACATGAGTAGTTACTGGGCAAGGGCACAATGTATTAATAGGTAATAGGCTTCTGATGCATTTTGAGAGAACCATCTTGTACATCCACATCTGCTGATCCAGCAACTCCAGCCAGGAGGGCCAACAATACTTTTTGCCATGATACAAACACAAGGGTATACTCTTGTACATGTCCTGGTAAACAACCAATGGGAACTCCAGTCTCAGATGTCACGCAAAAGCGAAAGAACTCAAATAAGGTGACCACTGCAATGAATTCAATCAAGTTACTTTTTAACTGTATAGCATTTACATATAGTTATGTCCTAAGTTTGGTAAACAATAATATTTATAACTGTATCTTTAAAATATGTTTGGCATACACGCGGACGCAATCTGGCATACATATAGATAATACTAACAGAGCAAGCGTCCAAAAATACTTGAAATATTAATATTTATCTAACACGAAAAGTTTCATTTTTTATTGTTTGCTGAGGGGGATACAGTGCTTGACATTACTCTATAAATGCTAATAAACAAGGTATTAGGCACATTAAGAGGATGCAAAATTCAATATTCATGATGCAAAATGCTTCTATTTTGCTACAATGAGTGTGTTTCTAAATTCTTCTTCCAATGCAACAAAAGGCATTTATCAGAACGTTACGCTTATATCTTATCAGAATATTTATGTACCTCAGCGTAAGGAAATTGAGTAATTCTTCAAGGAAATAAATGTTTAAATAACAAAAATTATTTAAATGTATTTTATTTGCCATTTCTCTTCAGACTGACTTTCTTTCAAGAAACTGATTGATAGTGTCATGACTCACAAAACTTGCTTCTTGAGAAGTAGTGCTATTGTTACATCAATTATGTACGTATCTCCAAATATGGGAATTGAACGATTCCAAGGAAATAAAATGTATATTTAAAAATTTTGTATACGATAACAGTTCTATTTCCTTTTCATTTTGGACTGATCAGGTATAACCTAACGTTCAGTTCTTTCTCGTCAACCACATAAGAATGCGCCAGTGGTAATATAATTATGTGACTCTTGATGTATCTGGTCCTGCTCTGCGCAATGCAAACAAAAATGTGTCTTCAGACTGAGCATACCCTTGTATTTGTATTATGCTTTTAGGGATCACTCTCGCTGCCAATGGTTATCAGCAGTAGTCCAACGAACTGTGAAGATGCAGCATCAAAAGACAGAAAGTGAGTGAGCGAGTTTTTAAGTATTATTTCAAGATGAAAAACACTCATGAAAATCTGTGAAAGGCCCGCCAGCCAACATCCTATGATGAACGAATAAAATTACTTCTGACTGCCTTGTATTATTTCTTTTGACTATCTCGGAACTGAAGAACAAAATTACATGTTCCAAATCAATTTTTTTACTTACTAATATTCAAAGATAACTTTTTGTGCTAACGTCCAAATTCAAATGTAAATTTTATATTATAAATCTTATTTGTTTTATAAATTTTATTTATTTTCAATTATACAAATTTATTTGCTACAGTAGAACCAAATTTAAAAGTGACAATATTATAACCAGGTAAAATGAAATGGCAACAACTAAGCGGAGCAAAAAACAAACGCTCGCAGAAGATAAAAAGAAAAGGATCCGTGAATCCCTAAAGAAAAATCCAAAATGAACTTCCTTTTTAAAATGTAATGAATCAGAAGAGACTTCTTCCATAAAACACTGAAGTTTAATTGGTGCAATTCACTGTAGTAGTATAGCTGGTACTGAAATTACTAATAGCAATATGAATATAACAGAATTTGTTACAAATTCTGCATCCAATCCTTGCTGTAGTAAAAAAAAAAAAAAAAAATAAGAGTGATGCAGAAAGTGAAACTATTTCAGAATCTGAAATTGTCGTATCTATAGACCACATAAATAAAAGAAATACAGATCTTGCTTTGTGGAAAAATTTTTCTTCTAATGATGTAAATTATTGGATCAAAACAGGGCCAAGTGACTGTCAACATCATAGTGGACCATTTGAAAATCTGTGCCAAAAATTGCCGGATGGTAAACAAACAAGGCTGTGTAGCCAGAATATATTTTAAGAGTACAAAGCTAATGGTGAGAATTAGAAGAGGGAGTGACTACTGTATTCTCCATTAGTCAGCTCTGTATATTGTTTCATTTGCAAACTATTCAGTTCTAAATCGTTTAACTCTCGATTTTCTATGGATGGATTTATTGATTGGCGCAATTCAAATATGATTGATAAACATGAAAACAGTTCAATTCACAGAGATTTTATGTTGTCATATTTAAACCGAAGACATGATTTTGGCTTAGCTCATGAACTGGAAACACAAATTAATAAAGAATGTCAGTACTGGAAAGTTGTTTTGCAACTCGTTACTGTCATAATGATCTCTGAATGTGTACTATCTTTTCGAGAGAGAAATGAAGTGTTTGGGTTCCCACAAAATGAAAATTTTTTGGCTTTACTTGAACTTGTTGCTCAATTTGATCCACTTTTAGCAGGTCACATCTCAAAACATGG